TTTTAAGCAACACTATTTCTGAGATCATACGTTTTTAATGCTTTCTGTGACAGTTTGGCACTGTCATTCTAAGCAAACTCATACTGGAGCAAATATTTGTTAGGCCTTGCTCTTAGCCACTAATAAGATGCACTAGTTAGTATTTATAGCAGCAGGACGGTGTATTTGGGACAGAGTCAAATTAAGGTACAACGCCTATGTTTATGTTTAAAGAAGGTATAGAGATTGGTTCATGTATAGCCTACAGAAACAACCCCACACTCTCAAAATAATTTTCCCAGCTACTGTCAAAGTAGCAGCTTTCCACTTTTTACTGTAAAGTAATAATAAAATAAAACATTTCTTCCAGTGTAATAGGGGAACTTTGTGTCAAGTTTTAAAGGCAGTGGTGTTTTGGAAATTGAATGACATCCTGAGAAACATTTAGTTTAACAAAATTCGAGACTTCTCCAGTTTGGGTCCAAACTTTTTGAAACCACCCACCCTGGTGCATTCACTGATTCAAGTGGCATATTCACATGATAGAGTGTCCACTGTTAAAAACCCCCAGTCCAGTGAGAGCAGCAGGAAGGCTGACCACTAGTCCCTATGCTCCATGAGTAAGAATAACACCGATGTTTAATCTGAGCGTGAGTTCTGCCAGGCTGTGGAGTGAAGCTCAGCCGGCCATATCAGGTCAGCTAATCCACATCAGATCAGCTGATGCGGATCTTTCTCATTTGCAATTCTCATACGTGCTGTGCTATTGAATATATTTTGGGGCTATATACAGTTGCAGCCTCTGCAAGCTGCTTTGCAGACGCACCTCTACCCCAACTCCTCAATTTCATGGTATTCTCACTATTTCTGGCTACATTATTGTGACTGATGCCTCTGTTCTGTGAGTGGGTCCTGCTGCTGCTGCTGCTGCTGTTCCTGCTCTCCCCACCTCATGCTTTCCACAGCGGCACACGAAAGAGCAGGGAGATCCTGGATACAGAGCTAAATATGAATGACTGTAGTTTGAATAATAATCCCATTTTGAATAAAGTGATCCTGATAGAGCTTTTGTCAGGCGTTGTCAAACCACAACAGGGATTTGTTAAAAACCACTGCTGATCTCATTTAGACACTCCCAGTCATTACTGCTGAATGAGAGATGGAGAAGCATGCTGGACTGGTATTACTTGCCTGGCTATAGCAAACTGCATTTTGGTGTAGCCAGGCATGAGTTTGAATTTAAATTGGCATGATGATTTAGGTGGCTACATGGGTTTACAGTGATTGCTTGGCACAAATTCCCACAGCCCTTCACCCACAGAACCTGCAGATAGTGGAGGGAACGAAGAGGAAAATGTAGTGAGGTGTTACAAACTGATCACAGATTGAATGTCTAAATCTAAAACTTGAAGTATCTTTTTTAAATGTCCAGATATTGAATCTTACTAAGAAATCCTCGGCTGCTACGATCACACCACCCTGCTGGTGTTCTTTCTTTCTTTCTGTAGACTGTGTCCGCAGTATCTTATCTATCTATGGTTGTTAATGAAGGCGTCCAAAGTTCAAGGCAGAGGTACTTCCAGGGCGGGCACTGAAAAGCTTAGTGTGGTGTTTTAAATGACCTCAAAAATGGCATGATAAGTCCTTTTTGGGTCATTTATTTAAATATACCATTACATATAAGATATTTTCTAAATTTAGTGACTCAAATTTAAACCCCCAGATTAGCTAAAAGGCAAAGAGTAATTTATTAACCAGACATATTAAGTACAAAAATCTGTGTTTCACTTTGTCTGTTGTTCACATTAAATGTATAAAATTTCTCTTTTTTAGTTTCAAGCCTTGTCAGGATTAGAAAACGTCCCAGCCTTAGCACGCCCCTCTTCATCTTAGAAAAGTAACAGACAGATATGAGTAAAAAAAAGTCAGGTATACTTGGAAGTTAACAAATTATAGGCTGATTTGTGTGTAGAGGCATGAATGCATGCTCTGAGTAGATTCAGAGTATGTGTATAATGTGAGGAGGAGGATGGTTTGCATCTGCAAATAACCCAGTCTTAGGTACACAATAAGACTTCACAGATGGAAACCGCTCTTTCACCCTGCATAAACACTTTGTGTGGGGCTTCAGCAACCCTCAGCAAATTTGTGGGGGTTTTGTTTGTTTTTTTGTTTCTCTGCATACTTTTGAATCTTTTGATTTGCGATAAAAAAACAAAACAAAACAGTATCTTTTCAAGCTGCAAAGCCACTCTACTTCTCGACTTTGCAATGTGCAGGTTTCTAATGCTGAGAATGTAATGTTTGCTGAATAAAAGCGACTTTCAGCTGCTCCCTTTTTCACAAGGGGGTCGTCACAGCAGGTAGCTCCACATGTTTGCTTTGGCAGATTTTTTTTTTTTTTAACACCAGATGCCCTTCCTGACACAGCCCCAGAGGGATTTGTGTCTCCTCCCTGTAATCAAACAGGACAACTTTTGTGTATTAGGCAAACGTGCAAACCACAAATGAATAAACAAAGGGAAATACAGTGAAACAGACTCCAAGGATACAGGAATAAAATCCAAGATATTATTAAGTAAGCCATTCTTTGCACAGAAGCAAACAAAATCCAAGATAGGTCTAGTCGTAAGAGGAACTTGCTTGAAACTTAATAAGTAATAACAACAAGGATAAATGGCTGGGTATGTTGACTACGATTAGTAAAAAGACTAAATGGCAAAAACAGCAGCATGTCACTGAACCTTGATTTTTGACTTCTGACCTGCAGCTCAACACAAGGAGGAAGTCCATGAGAGGAACAGTCGCAACCGAGCTGACAGCTCCAGCGCCATCAACTCTGTGGGGGATGGCAGGGCTGTGGAGTTCTATTTTGCTTCTGACGCCAGGTGAGGCCTCTTCTATGTGACTCAAAACGCAAAAACACAATATTACTAATTTATATTACTCATTCATTTCTTTTCCCCAAATGACCTTTTCTGTCTACCCACAGTGCCATCATTGAGCACACCAACAAGGTGTTGTACATGGAGGATGATGACATAGCAGTAGTGACCGGAGGGAAACTCTCCATCCACAGAATGAACCGGCAGGCCGGTGAAGACCCAGTCAGAGCTATCATGACCCTACAGATGGAGCTGAAGCAGATCATGAAAGGTCAGAAACTATTTGAAATTACTTTGTGGCTCTTAGGTAGCTAAGTTCAAATTGCAAGTACTGTGCATGCAGTGCAGCAGATTTAAGTCAACAGTTACACATGCTCGCCCTCTGCTGGCTGAATGCGTGCAAACAAAGCCACAAGACAAACTCCGTGCATCCTTATTTCCTGTCTAACTTCTTATTAGGAAAGCATTCAACATGTCACGGTGTGTCAGAGAATGTGATGGTAACGTATGCTCCTGTTGTCCTTTGCAGGAAACTTTGATGCCTTCATGCAGAAGGAGATCTTTGAGCAGCCGGAGTCAGTAGTCAACACGATGAGGGGCCGCATTTGTTTTGACACCAAAAAAGGTGACAAGTGAACTGATAGCCAGTCCTATGTTCTAGCATGTCCCACTACCCTCTAATATAACTGGGAATTAAAAAAATGACTCTCAGATATAAAAACATGTATGTTATGATCGCTACAGCAAAAAACTTGTTTTTATGAGCCTTATTTACCTCCTAAAATGCACTATTTAATAACTGCAGGCGGTAAACGCATGATGACTGGGCACTAAAGTGTATGACAGACATTAGTTGTGATGCAGTGAGGGATCAGTAGGTCTAACTGTTTCACATTCTGTTCTCTCAGTTGTTCTCGGAGGGTTGAAGGACCACCTGAAAGAAATAAAGCGTTGCAGACGGCTAATCATGATCGGCTGTGGCACGAGTTTCCACGCTGCGGTGGCTGTGAGTACAGCAGTTACATCATTATTTTAGCTTGTATATGCTTGATGATGGCATTTTGCAGTAAAGAAGGCAATCATTAGTAACAGACGAGTTCAAAGAATTCAATTATTGTATGGATAGAGTGCAGCAGTGTTAATTAATCTTCTGTTTTTACTCACTTGCTCTACAGACCAGACAGATCCTCGAGGAGCTGACGGAATTGCCTGTCATGGTGGAGCTGGCCAGCGACTTCCTGGACCGTATCACACCTGTTTTCAGAGATGATGTTTGCTTCTTTATCAGCCAGTCAGGTGATAATGATGCACATTAGCACTTTTTTATCTTCACTTTCCTGAAAGTGGCTTTAGAAAGCTTTATTTACACTGTAATTTCCTGTGTGACACCTATCCACGTTCAATGCCTTTTTCATTTTTTCCTGAAACAGGAACATTGTTGTGGTTTAATTGCACATTATGAACATATGTTTTCATTCTCTGTGCTCCTTAGGAGAGACAGCAGACACTTTGATGGCACTGCGCTACTGCAAAGAACGGGGAGCTCTGACAGTTGGTGTAACGAACACTGTTGGCAGCTCTATCTGCAGAGAAACCGACTGTGGAGTCCACATAAATGCTGGGCCCGAGATAGGAGTGGCTAGCACAAAGGTATGGCTGGTTTATGGTCTATACTTGTCTCGACTGGTTTTACCCCCAACCGGTTGTGGCAGATGGCTGCTCCTCCCTGAGTCCGATTCTAAATTGGTGGGTTCTTCCTCATTGTTCAGCACAGGGGGGCTTATAAAGTGTTTCTGTGTGTGTGTGTGTGTGTGTGTGTCTTATCCAGGCTTACACCAGTCAGTTTGTCTCACTCATTATGTTTGGCTTGATGATGAGTGAGGACAGACTCTCCCTACAGAAGAGAAGAGAGGAGATCGTCCACAGCCTCAAGATGCTACCTGGTCAGTACCCCAACAAATCTTACAAAAAGTATTTAGAAGTGGAGATTCAAGCTAAACAACATTAATGCATCATTCACTCATCGTTCTTTTACTGTCTTAGAACTGATAAAGAAGGTGTTGTCCCTGGATGAGAAGATCAAGACCATTGCCAATGAACTGTATCAGCAAAGGTCACTTTTGGTTATGGGTCGAGGTTTCAACTATGCCACCTGCCTAGAGGGGGCACTGGTGAGTTACAAAAAAGCCATAATATTAGTCGTAAAATGAGTACAGTGGAATTAGGAATCAGGACATGTTATATAATCCTTACAGGGAAATTGTTTTGTAACAATTTAGCTATACTAAATAATGACTAACAAAATTATAAACAATCAAATGGCAACACTAAAAGAAGTTATGTAACTAGATGGCCATAGGAGTGATGTTCAGTGGAGCATTTAGTCATTATTAGTCTCTGGCTGAATGTGCACCTCTGGCTAACCACAACGCTGTGTAGAGGGAAGGGAACATTGTCTATGATGCAGAGGAGTTTTGACAACAGCTTTCTCTCTGCTACTACATGTAGACAGTCCAATTCCACCCACAAGACTCAGCCGAGTTTGAACAAGTTTACTGAGGTTTTTCGTATCATGCACCGTCAAGCCTTTTGCTCTAATTTATCACAACACAGAAAAAATGTCTAATCATCAAAGGCTCAGGAAACGTCATCAACACTGTGACATTTACGATGAAGGAATAGAGCCTCTGCATGAAAAAGAGCCCATTCTGGCACTTCCTGTAGAGAGCCAGTCTAGTGTTCTTGTCCAAGTAACCCACCAGTACTGTAATTGCTCAGGTCCCTAATAAAAGCCCTCTTTGACTCAGAAACCACGCGGGATGTCGTCCACAGGATTGGGACGACTGGAGCTCTGCGTTATGCCATTAGGGTGATGTCACTGTGCATCCTTTACTTGCATGTACCCTCCTCATTTGTTCAGTGAGATGGTCAGTGGTAGTGAAGGTGTCATTGCTGAGGACTGCTTATAAAAGTAGTCAGTAGGTGACTGCGTCTAGGATCTGTTGAAGAAATCATTCAGCACTGGCTCTGTTGATGTCCCCATCTACATTTCGGCTTCCGGCCTTGTAGCCATGGATAGTCCACATGCCTTTCTGGCTCTGCAGCATCTGTGCCATCGTCTGTGGTGTTTCCTTGTCTATGATTCACTGAATGTTTTTAGATATTTTTAATCTCCTTCCTGTCACCTGACATGAACACCCTAACATGTTATTTGCCACTCTCAGATTTCTTTCATTGCCGAGGCGAGGTTGAATCTGCATGTCCTTCTGATTTCTGGGATATTTGTTGTTGAGCTGATAGCTGTGTGGGCTTGCTTCAGTATCATGAGCTGGTCCCTGATACAAAGAGTGTAAGCATGTAGCTGATGGGCAACAGTATTGTCCTTGAAAAGAGCGCATATGCAGAACAGAAGATGTCTAACTATCATATAATCCAAACAAGTTTAAGGAAAGAATATAATTAAGTTGAAACCGCATGAGAAAAAGCTGCTCACACAGCTTTCATACCATGCAAGGAATGTAGGCTGTGCTGTAATTTGTCTTCATTCTTACTATTAATCTTCATCCTAAACAAGTTTTACTATTCTTATTCTGATGCAGAAAATTAAGGAGATCACTTACATGCACTCGGAGGGCATCCTAGCTGGGGAGCTGAAGCACGGTCCTCTTGCACTCGTTGACAAACACATGCCAGTCATCATGATCATCATGAGGGACGCCTGCTACACAAAATGCCAGAATGCTCTGCAGCAAGTCACCGCCAGATCGGTAGGTCTTTGACAAAACACATCTTACACATCCACCCAAAGCACACACTCAAAGTACTCAAATACTAAATTTTGAAAGTCCCAAGTACAACAGAAATGAGTGGACAGACAGACTGATGTTAATATTCTTGCCCTCTCGATGTCTGTCTTCATCAGGGTCGGCCCATCATCATCTGTTGCCAGGATGACACAGAGTTGACTAAGAATGCCTACCAGACCATCGAACTGCCGCAAACTGTGGACTGCCTGCAGGGTATCCTCAGCGTCATCCCTTTGCAGCTTATGTCATTTCACTTGGCTGTCCTCCGAGGATATGATGTAAGTATTCAATGCAACCGTTGGTTTGATTATTGACAAGAGTCCTAGGAATAAAGAAATCATCATGTCCAAATCCTCATATTTAGATATAATAGATATATTAGATAAAGACTAATAATGGGCATTGTTTTAGCAAAACACAAGCACATGCACAGTCACTGTGATGTCTGTAATACCTCAGTAATCACATATTGATGTTAATATGAGATTTATAGCAATATTGATTTTGTTCAAATTCACCCAATGCTAAGAGCAGCTAATTATGAATGTAATGTGTGCTTCTGTTGTTTGGTTTTCAAATGCTTGCAGTGGAATCTATTTGCACGTGGATTTGATGTTGTCACACATTCATTTCAATTCCACACTAACACAATAAGATACTTCATTTGCTTGTCTGATTTAAAACTGATTTAAAATTATTACAAGACTTAAATCTAATGCTACAGTCATGGCACTCGAACATGTGCAGAATTTGGCCTTGTCTGGCTTTAATGGGGAAGGTATTCCTTGAAAAAGACAGTAATGGCAGCCAGCATGTGTTCTTCTAAGCTTGTACATACGCTTTAGGGATAGTGGTGCCCATGAATACCAATGCTTTGTCCATGTCTCTGGTTCTGCTTGTGTCTATTCATCTTTTCTTTCCTTGTGAATGCTTTACTTTACTAAGAAGGCAGCTCATGTTCCCTACTCACCACAGTGCAAACAGACTTTATCTGTCACAATTGTGAACTCTTTATTTACAGTGCATGATCACAACATGTATAACATTTAGAGCCAAATCCTTATTATGGAACATCTTTACCAGGATGCAATTGTTTTACCATGTACACTAATATAATGAGTTGGGAAATGTGTTATCAAAAAAAGTTATACAGTGCTGCTAAATTTATTGATCATGTAGAATTTGTTATAACAAACTTTCTTTTCTTTTCTTTTTTTTAAAGGTTGACTTTCCCAGAAACCTGGCCAAGTCTGTGACAGTGGAATAATTACAGTTCACAAAGCCCTGGAGAGGAGAGACAGCTCTTTAGGAGATTAACAGTGCAATAGTGCAATCAAACATTAAGTGTGTGTGTGTGTGTGTGTGTGTGTGTGTGTGTGTGTGTGG